AAAAAAAGATTTTAAACGCAATAAACAAAACGCCGCAATTATCAAAAGAATGTTACACATTCAAGATTCAATCTACATCTTTATCTAGAAAATTAATTAGTTTGTTGATACTAAGCTAATTACTAACCTAGAACTCGCCTTGCCGCAAGCATTAAATTCACTTTAATCGACCATTTGATTTTGCTAATTACAAATTTGCAATATATTATACAGCTCTTTTAAAGAGAAGAGAAAGAGAAAAAGAGAGAGAAATATGATTACTATCGTAATAGTAAACTTAAATATTTGAAAAACAAAATACTTTAAGAAGAAAAATTTCGGATGAAAATTATATAACTGGCAAGAGGACATGAAAGAGTTATTTCAATTTGGCCGTATATTTTTATGCTGTGGATTTTTTCTTTCGCAATTGATGTAAAAGCACCTAATAGCAAAATCGTTTAATCTTTTGTATCTCGCATTTGCAGAAAATCATCATAATGTATTACTAATGAATGAGTTAGCAACTATTTAATGATGTATACAGAAGAATGCTGGCACTCGTCGAATGTGCCACACGTAGCGTGCATGTACCTGAGAAGACTTGGAGAGCCATTAGCTAATTAATGAGATCTCCTCCGGCGATGCTCGGCTCAAAGTCCGGAAAACGCGTACGTAATACCCCTCGAAACTGTGCAGCCGACATTACGAACACCAGCAGGCAAAAAAATATACGCGGAACAAAAGTACTTTGTGCTACTTTCTTAAATTGAATAAATATGCGAAATCGTAAGCATGAAAAATCGGATACGATCCCTGGCAACGGTTTATCCCTCTCTAAGCAACTTGAAATTTATTGTCCGATATCTGTAAATTAAAAAAAAAAATTAACTAGATTCAAAATTAAATAGATTTTAAACTAACAAGAGAATTGTACACTCCTAAATATTCGCAGTTTTGCGCAGATATTAAAAAAATAATAATACCAGCGATTAATCATTGCGAACGTAATCATTGTTTAAAGATTTACTTTTAAGTACAAAAATCTTTATTTCTAATTTTTATTAAATATAATAAAAAAACACAGATCACAGATCTAATTTAATAGAACTTGCAATATTATATGAAATCAATAAAGCGCTAGCTTTATACTGTCATGCGCCCCTGTGAGTTTTTTCGTTGGTTAGATTATAGCGTAGCGCTGCGTTTTCAAGAGAATCAAGTTATAATTGCGTCAGAAGGTGATTTAATTTCAGGTACGCCGCGAAACTTCAAGCAGCTTCGTATTAAAATAGCTTGTTTTAGCGCGTAACGGAATAATGCTAAAGCGGCTTAATTCTTGAGGAAAACCGAGTGAACGAGCGAGCCAGAGCGGACAATTAGGTGCTCGCACGGAAGACAAGCCGCGATGCCGCGACGACCGTGTGCTTGGCGATCCTGCGAGCGACAGTCCATTGTTTCGCGGATAAGCCGTTTTTATTAAAGCGGATGATTATTTCGACGTCGAGCATCATTGATGAACAGAATGAACACCGATCGATGCCACCGGCACTGTCGTTACCATGTTATCTCGGTCGCTGTCGCGTTTTATAGCTGACCAAGTGACAAGATGATGCAAAATCTTTGTCAGCATCACTCAATATTTAGATGTGCCAGAATCACGTATCACAATCAAGATCATGTGTATATTTTTTACAAAAAACCTCATAAGAATCTTTTATAAAAAACTATTTATTCATCGATTATCATTGATTTTATTATCATGATTTCTATGAAAAAACAAATTTTATTATCATGATTTCTATGAAAAAACAAATTTTCCGCGAAGATTGTATATTCGTAATTTAGAACGCTGAATCTACAGTCAAAATTTTTATCTTTTAAATCACGAATCCATTTGTCATGCGTTACTCATACAAGTAGCGCTTTACCTGCGCGAGAAATTAGAAAAATTGAAATCAGCCCATTTTCTTTACGGCCTTACGAATGAAAAGAATGCGAAAAGAGAACGTCCTAAAAATGAAAAAGTCATTCTTGCATGGTTGCGTGAAATACAATGCGTTTCTTTGCGATTGCCGGTGTGATTCCGCGAGAAACTAGTACAGGTGAACGGAAGTGAAAGAGAGAAGAAAGAAAAGAAGAGCGCAGTTTTGAAGAAACAAAATAATAGGAGGGAACGAGACGAGAAAAGTAAGAAATAAGATGCGGACGAGGAGAGAGAAAAGAGTAACACAGAGAAATCCACGTAGGTTCGTCCATGTAGGGACAGAAGACAGCCCTGCGGGCAGCCAATCAAATAAAGTAGTCCGAGGTTGCTTTGCCGGATGCAAATTCAGCCCCCGTGGGCTTTCTGTTTCCAACCTCCCTCCTATCGTCGCTCTGCAACTGTGAGTCGAGTCTCTGCACGAATTTCCGGGACACACGGAAGTAGCCCTGTAGTTGTTCACTGATACGTATATCTTCCGTTTCCTCCGTCCCTCCCGGATTGTTCATTCTGACCCTTTCCAATCTCGACCATCGAAGAACCGATATCACACAGCATGTATATTCTGTAGCGAGCGAATTACAGAATGACCGACACACCGCGATTATTATAAACGCGTAAAAATTCACCGATGTACGCAGAATAAATATTCATCAAAAGTAGGTTGCAAAACAACTGATTTTTGCAAGAATTGCAAAATATTGAGTAAAATAAAAATCGTGTTATATTTTCCTCAAAAATCAATCAACTTTCGTCCGAAATATTTTTTCGAAATGTGTCTTCCGAAAGTGTCACTCTATTATAAGTAGTTTCAAATTATTTGTAACAGCATAATAATGAAAATTGTACAGCAAAAAAAGGTAAGATAAGTAATAATTTTCAATGAAAATGCCATGTGCGTGACGCAAGATTATACATCTTTGAAATACTAAGCCCGGGTGGCGCGACGCAATGCAGTACATCAGTGTATCGCGTACGTGTGCCGCGGTGATACATCGGAACAGAGGGTTCGAGCGACGGATCGGATCGTGGCGCGACTCACTCCTAATTACGCTTTAATGAAAATAAATCGCTACATTTGTAGGAATGTCGTGTCGCTTTGGGTATTTCCACGGATCGCTTGCATCCCGCCCTTCGCCTATACAGTTCGTCTTCCCTTTCCCCTTTTTCCCTCTTCTCTTTTCTCGGCTCTATCGTGTTATCTTTGTACTCCACGCCACCTGTTTGATTCTCTCAAAGGAATACCAGTGTCTATTTGTCTATTTCGGTTTGTCCCGTTTTCTCCCACCGTCGACTCCACCCACACGACTTGGACAGAATCCAACAGTCCCTCCCACCTTCTACGTATTCCCCATCTTACGTTCCAAGTTGAACAATCAATTTCAATTCCGCAAGAATTTCTTTTAAATCTCGAATTCGCCACGCATTTCAAAGAGACGTGATGATTCAAGAATAGCCGTATAATCTATACAGCTGATTTAATGCAGAATTGATAACACGATAATAGAAAATAAACGTATTAAATTTGCAAAGAGAATAAATTAAATTAATTATAATTATATAATTATTAGGATTGATTAGAAAGGTAAGGTACAACATTGTTTCAATATCGTCCCCCTCACGCCAAAACTATAAATGTGCAAATTTTAACCTAATCGTTTTTTTGTGTGAAATTTATTTTGTGCTACTTGATTGTGTATTTACAAAGCTTTCTAGGCTCTGAAGCTTTGTAAATACTAAAAAATCAAGTAGCTCAAAATAAATATCACAAAGAAGAACGAGATTAGGTTAAAATTTGTATGTACATAAGGAGGATGATATTATTTTTCAAAGTTTAAAGTTCAATGTTATCGAATCAATAATAAATTGAGACGAGATGTACCATGTGATTTTTGCATTTATTTATAATCTAATAGCAATAGCAGCAATAATAATAAGAATAGTAATAACAATATTATTCGGTAATATGTACAGCGAAATAAAATTTATGATATAAATAGTGAAAAAGAAAAGTATTTTACAAAGATGGTTATCTAAAAACGTGGCTGGAGAAATGGGGGAGAGGATATCAGTTCGTATTTCTAGAAGTATTCTTAAATCATTTTCAAGTTTCTTTGCCCTATCATTACACTGAAAAAAAATCAGATTTTTATTTGTTCAGATTTAACGCGCAAACATTGTTACAAGCATGTGCTGAATACGGGCCAAAAAAATTTTTATCTAAAAAATTTTTTAATAAACAAATAAGTAAATAATTTAATTCTTTTTGAAAAACTTGTCTTATTTTCTTAGATTAAAAAAAATTTTTGTATAAATTTTTGTATTAATAAAGAACTGTACTTTCTGTATTTTGTTTTTACATTAACCTTTTTTAATTTAAATAAATAATTCCTTTGTAAGTATATAAATAAATAATTTTCTTTAAATAAATAAACTCTTTAATTAAATCAACAATTCTTTAATTAAATAAAATTTGTTTAAATTTAATATATTTTTTTCAGTGTACAAACATCGTCGTATAATTCCGCATAAAATATGCCTTAATAATAAATAACAGTAATGGCCATATTTAATTGTGGACATGTTTTTTTATGCAATACGACGGTATAAAACAATTTAAAAAAGTGATTAAAATCAAACAATTGAATAGAAATTTTTATAATAATATAATATTTTAAGAAAACAAAATATTGGGAAATATACCCACTTGGTATGTGATAGAAAATATTATATTTGTAAAGAGAACAAATTATTGGTTACGAGATAATCTTGATAACAGTATTATTTTCAATTCAATTATAAGATAATATTTATTATAATATATTTTGAATTTGCTTAATGCAGCTTTTCATATATAAACAATATAAACTCTTCTGCACTTTTGCTCGATAAACATGAAATCGAAACAATTTTTGAATAAATAAATTTGAAATTTATATTATAAATTTGAATAAATAAATAATAAATTTGAAAGACAACTTTTTATAAATTATTAAAAAAATATGAAATAAATTACATACACTTAAATTGCATATAAGAAACAAATATTTAACATTGAATATATATTAATATTTTCAACATGCTGCAGATTAAAACATTATATCTTATTATTCCTCAAGCTACATTTACGACAACTAACTTTGCTATTACACTGGGTTCCTAACGAATCTAACATCAAATTGTGTAATTGTATTAAATCCCGATCCCTCATCCCCCATAATCAATATTATTTCCAATGAAAATTTATTGCACTTTTACGCATCGCTGTATAAATCTTTGCTCTTGCGTTCATTGGTTCTGACTTAATAGCGCAACATACCCATGACACGCTTAAAAAAACCTTTAACTTCATCCTCATCCTTGAAAACGAGCATTGAACAAAGTTTGTTCATTCTTACATAAACGTAGTACATTGTTTTACAATTAAGTTTAATTCATGACAGGATAACGCCACCTCTGTCGAAACCCTTCAATAATGTTATGTAGAAATGATGGTTCTTACCTTTCAAATATCATGCACCTAGCACAACACTAAAGTCTAACGTTCCTTCTTGTCCTTCGTGGACATCGCTTCCTTGCGCATTGCTTCGGCAGCCTCGATGACTTCGAAGTCTTCGGAGGACGAAATATCGGTGGATAAACTCGTAGCTCCGGAAGCTGAAGGAATCGCTTCCGCTGTCACGGTCGAAGTTGATGTAGTCGCGTCCTCTGATACAACAAAATTTGTTTAAAGCAAGATTTTTTTATTTTTCATGGACTAAATGCTATAAAGAAATGTTACTTTAATCTCTTAAGTGTTGAGATCAGTCATTAAAAAAAAAAAGATATTTTTCACCTATAGAATTTTTACAAAACACTGATTAATTCAAAACAATAGATTTATTACTTTTTTCCGTTAAAGTTTAATTTTAAGAATGCTTTCTTATAAGAATTATTCTAATAAAACATTTTAATTTTTTAATAGATATTAATAATTGCACAATTTAGTAAATAGATAAAAATAGAACAAATAATCGTAATGAAAGTCCACCGATCGGTAGATGTAAACGCGATACAATGCACAACCGTAAGTCAAACCACAGCTGTAAACAAACTGGTTTCGATATATTAGTCGCGCATGTTAAAACGATTATCTACAGTTGCGAGCATGAAACGAGAGGTGAAATTAAAAGCGCAAAAAAATAATCAGTGCTAGTTGGATCGTTCGAATTGAAATACGATAGCGCGGTATCGCATGCCAAACTGCATGTAGGCGCTTCAGAGCGATGAGTGTCAGTGACACAGGATCTACAAAGTACTCATTCAAAACTCTAAACCTGGTAAAACGCGCCGCGTGCTTCGCGAGTCGACACGCAGAATGTGTAATCACGGAATTACTGATGATTACAAAGCGTTAAAAAAATTATCATAATTTTGTAACGTGCCGGTAAATCAATTTGCGCATATTCTCTTTAGAATCATTGCCAAAGATCACTTTTCCACTTGGACTTGTGATGAGTGTTCGAGCATAACATTTTTTCCATTGTTTCCATAAAATATATTTTATGGAATAATATAAATTTTAACATACTTAAAATTAAACTTGTTTGTAAAAATGAGTATTCCAGAAAAAAGTTTTTTCCCATTGTGTGGAAATTAGAACAAATAACCAAATGTAGATATGTAATTAAATGTAATAAAGTGCAGTGAGAAAGAAATTAATTGCGTACTAAATTGCGTTTAATTGACAATCATTTTTCAAATTCAAAAGTATCTACGAGATAAAATGCAAATAAAATATGTCTCCCATAACGTACCTTGAACAGAATCATTTCGCTGATGACTCGTGGCCGTCGCAGAAGACGTTTGCTCGGCATTGACATTTCCGTATCGTTCCTCTGTACCGTTAGGCTCCAAATCGAGCTGAGAGAGTTCGGTGATGTAGTTTTGCTGCGTCTGTTCCGTCGTAAGCGACGTAAGCGAGTTCGAACTTGGAGAAGACGACGACGGCGTCGTCGTCGACGGCGATGATCCCGGACCCGGGGTGGTCGGGACTGTGCTGGGCGTCGTCGGTTGCGCCGGAGGCTGAGCGTGATTGCGAAATAGAATTTGCTGCAACTGCGCCTGTTGCAGAATCACTGGTAGCTCGTAGTGATGAAAGAAGTACAACATTGAGTGCTGAAACAAAGAATATCGACGAGATATGCGATTAGAGTGATTAGAAAAAACTGATGCAATACCGCGACGATAAAATTATAGGGAGAGAAACAGCTAAATAATGTTAAATAATGAAAATTAAACAGGCTCTGACGATCAAATAATAATCAATTATGCTCTTCAACTTTGATTAGTGAGTTATTTTTTGTGTTATCGCTTATTTTCTTTTATAGAAGACATATAACATAATTATAAGTTAGATTCATATGATAGATCAGTGCTACATTATGAAAGTTCGCCGTTCTTCGTGTACTTCTTTCGCAGGCGCCGTTGAAGAAATCGGAAACAAGAATTCACGTAGCAAGATATATCTTGTCGCACACTCGGCTCTACGTATTGGCTCGTTCCACTTTTGTGGCCTGTGTGTACCGCACGCGCCTAGTAAATTTATATGGAAATTCACCAAATTCGTTTTATACCAGCGCTCTCTTTCTCCGCAATCACTTCGGACCTGTCTCTGCCAATCCCTATCGATCGCGCTACTGCCGATCGCAATAATGTGATTTCTCTATCTTTACATACTGTAAAACTAAATTCTTCGCTTACCGCATACGTTATTATTACGTTATTTGTCAATTGAACCAAAACGCGAAAATTCTTTTACAAAATCAGCCAATGAAAATCATTCAATCATTTTAATTTTGATACTCCATGGAGCACGATATGATATTGCAATATGAGCATCTGTCGACGACGCAAAGAAATTATTTCCGGCGATTCGTCAGCAAGAGGGATTTCGGTCCATTTGAGAAAAAAATCTGCAAAAAAAATTTGTGAAGAATGGAAACAAGAGAAGAGAGCTCCCTAAATAGCGGGGAAAAAATGACGGTAAAGCTGAGCGATGTGGACGGTCGCGGGAACAGGAGCGAGAAGGAGGGCAGCGACAGAACGATTCTGCGACCCTGCGGGATGCTGGGTAGAAAGCGGAGGGGGAGTACATCGAGTTTTCGTTTGGCGGATAATCAACGCCAATGACACCAATATCGAATCGGTGTATAATCACGCCGCCGGGCTAATCGGAGCTGAACTCTGACCTGCAGCAATAGCTGCAGCAACGGCTTTGCCGTCCGGGAATCAAAACGATTCTCGGCCGCCGACATGCCCGTGGGCTCTTTTTGAATTTTGCCACCCAAGCGGTATTCGTAAACTCGTTGCCAGGAAATAATTGTCACTCGTTAAGCGATCATGTTAACGAACCTGTAACGTGGTTATCAGGCGGAAACTGTCATCGCCGACAAGATGGGCTAAAACTGGTTTATTTACGACGCGTACATTCGTTCACATTGTCAAATATGCCGACGTATCGTTTCGCTTACGTATTTGTAGAAGATCGCTATACTACACACGTGTAACTCTCTCCGAAAGACACCTGGTTTATGATACAAATCAACTTTTTGAGTAAGCGCGTTTAAAATTTGTCATTATTTGATGACATAAGAACGACATAGTATAAATAGATAATTTTAAATGTAGGAAACTAGAATGTTTAAGCGAGAAGCAAAAAATTCGACTCAGCAACTTGTACATCAGAGTTTGTCCGATTAATTAGAAGTGTGAAATAGCCAAATTCTCAATAAATCTATAATTGGAACTCTCTGTTTCAATTTTTTTATGCAAAATTATTCAAATTTGCCACGACCTTTTCATCGGATATTTGTTCCAGATAGTAATTTTTTAAATTAGATTATATCCGAAAAATAATCGAGATAATCATTATAAATATATCCGACAATCGAATAGCGTGTAAAACATAATATATAATCTTTTCCCCAGTGCAACACATGCATGATGCAATTACACCTTTTATCGGATAAATTAACCACTCCATTAAATTTTAATGGCATTCAGTTTTTACGCGTGAAATATACACATACCATATATCAGTTATTAACGTAACTATTGTAACGCCATTATAATAATATCTGTTAATATGACCGTTGCGATCATCTAATTATAAGTTATTACCAAAGTACGTTCTGCAATCAGATTATCGTATGATGATATTATTAAAACAGCACAGCAAATCTGTTTTTAAAATTCCGGCAGTTTACACCAAGTGTTCTATTGCAATCGACATTCGCCGTAAATATTCCAGATGTAGCGTGATAAATAAAAATGATCCCAAAGTTACAAGCGAGCAAAATTTCGGATCAAATTTCAGATGTACATTTCCTAATGAAATACATCCGACGGAAAATAATAATATCTCACAACTACTCAACTACCTACGTTCTTAATGGACGAAGGGAACGAGACACGCCCTCTTCGATGAGAACGAGATTCCCGCATTAAAGTATCCTTATGCGCGTTTATATATGGAAACCAAGAAGCCGCATTAAATTATTTCTATCGATCGGGCTGTCAGGAGCATTGTCCTGGTTGCGTTTACGTAACTTAAGTTTGAGCGATGGCGGCTTTAGGCTATTCAGTTAAGCGACCGCGGCTCGTTCTTCGTCCTGCTACCGTTCCTGTCAATCGCAGAATTCCCAACACAGTGGCCAATGGGAACGCATACAAAATATTGCGCTTCAATTTTCCTTCATCTCGATGTTATTTTAAATACAAAAGTGCAACGGTTACGTAACGAGAATCTAACTCACAATTAGCATTGCTCTATTATCAATATAATGATAAAATATCAGATTCAAAATATTTTTTTTCTACAATCCTTCCAAATTCGACGTAATATTTCATGGATCCGATTTTCTTTGATTACTAAAAATTAAAGCTTTATTAAAAATTGGATATTCGTCTTTTGCTCTAATAGTGTATTCGCCGCATCTGCCATCGCTTTTCACCAAAACACAAAAATATGTCACTATAATAATAATAATAATAATAATAATAATTGTTTTCTTGAATTAACCAAAAAGTCAGCCATACTGGTGATTGCTCTTAAGAGTGTTGTTATAACGCGGTATACATACTTTCTCCATAAAGCTACCACACGCTGAGAAAAAAATGAGTTCGCACGTATACTTGTCAGACCTTTTATGGTTTTTAACTCGGATCTGACATCTGACATGAATCCAATTTTGAAATTTACAATAATATTATATTTTTATAGAATACAAAATTAAATTTATTTGTGTTCTTAAATTTTTATTTATATATTACAATTAAATTGAGAACTAAGAATTAGAAGACAGGTGAACGACATTCAGTTGAGAAGTCCGCGCTTCTGAGTCTTATAGCCCCTTTTTGTTTGTTGTTTATTCTACAATTTTGAAACGGTGCACAATCGTCTGAGAAGAATTTTTGCTAAACTTAGCCGACCATATTTGTCCTCGGCTAAAGTACTCGCAAGTAGGTCACGGAATATTCGTGATCAATGTCCGTTTCAATGCGAAAGAGCAATTTTTTTCTCTTGGAGAAACTTTTCTCTACTCCTGTGGGAGTTTTTATCGCGCAGACGATTATTTCACGAACCACGATGCGGCGCGCCACTTTAATCCCAAAATACATCACATAAATACTCTCGTGCCTTGAACTGCGAACTATTCGCGTTCGCGAGTTCACCGAAAAATCTATTTTTATCTATATCTTTTATGTTCACTTTTATTAACCATGTTTTGTAAAGCTGTATCGTATAGTATTTTAAACGAGCTTAGATCAGGGATTGAAACCAGTATTATTTCATTAGTATTATTTCAGTATACAAAACACTTACTTGTATAAAGAGCCATGATGTAACAAGCGCCAAACTGCTGTACTGTCCGTTAAATCGATAGTGGTACGCGTAGAAAGAGAAGTGATACAAGTAGAAAAATCTGAAACAAAAATTATATATAGCATCATTAAATGGTGTAAAAAAATATTTCAAAATATAAAATTTAAACCAATATCAAAATAAAGATAGATTGATCAATAATCGGAGATTCTGTACCTCTCTCTTCTCCTTCCTCTCTCAAAAAAAGATATGTTTATTTGTCAAAGAAGAATCGATTATAAATTTCAGCTTTAATAACATTGCCAAATAATAACTGTTATTAAGAAGCTGTTACAAACGCGTGACAACGTGATATGATAAAAATAAATAAATGACAAATTAAACCAACGCTATACTTATGTAAAATCGTAGAATGTAGCAAAATTTATTCACTGATATATACGCAATAATCTCTAAAATCCGTAACAACTTCAAGCCACTTAACAGATTACGCAACCTAACGATATACACAGCACGTTTCGCCCCGTTGTAACAGTATGAACGAACTATCGATCAGATCGGATCAAGTTTAAGGTATAGAAATATCGAGGGTAACGCGTTTTTGCGCGGCTAGCGGCTACTTTAGTCATTATTATACGTTATCGGGGTATAATAACACGCACGACTCTCGTGAAAAGTATTAAATAATGTACATAATTCTTCGATAACGTAAATATATTATTTTTCTTAAAAACAATCTACTGGAAAATCTGTAAGTGAAACGAAGTTGATTATTTTACATTTTTCCAACTAATCGCGATTAAAAAGAAGAAAAATCCGTCTTTCGTTCTACAATTATTTTACGGATTAAAAGATGGAATTTACATTCAAGAATTCCAATTCCCTTTTTACGATTAAGGTTACACGCGAAAAATAAAACAATTTTTTTTACATATTCTGAAAAATTATAAAAAAAAATAAGTGTTTACTTTTCATTGCAGTTCACGGTGATGAATAACGTTTGGGCGATGAAGGCAAGGTTGTAATCAAGCGATTTTTACGAGGAGCCGTTACGGAGTCGCCAATATTTACGGATAAAAAAAGAAATCGGGGTTCTCGTAGGTATATCCTTTCGACAAGTACGACGACTAATTTCCTGGTATATGACGGAACTTTAGTGTCTTTCAATCAACTCGGTATGTGTATACCCGTACCATAAATAGCACCATAAATGCTTATTACTATTTATCCATTAAATATTTTACATTTAGATAATGATACATTCTCACGATAAAAATATGTGCAATATTCCAAAGGCAAATATTCTTTGTACTCCCGATATAATGCCGATCAAAACGGCTGTTTTGCCTAAGAAATGTCACGTTTGCATAAAAGAGAAACATAATTTTACGTAATATTTTAACGTAAATACTTAAAAGAAACGCAGGGGAAATGAAAGGTGAAACAAAGGAGAAATGGCAGAGGGATGAGGAAAAATGCGACTCCGAAATCCTACGTTATGTATTCCGGGGACATAAGCTCTAAAGTGTCCCACGTTCAGGGAACCGCAACCATCCGACGACGATTCATACGTTTTTTCTTGAAAAAGGGGGAAGGGCAAAGACGGAGCTGGAGACTCTCCAAACGCATTCTGAATTCATTGAATAGTGCTACCCCACCGAAGAAAGGCAGAGATTACTTTCGGACTTCAAACGGACTCCGAAGTCCCCAGCTGCTTGAATGAACTTTTCATACTACATATGCAATGCCCAAAGATCATAGTTTGGAATTAAATTCGGAAATCGCAATCATGAACAGTATACTCGGTTATTCAATTAATCAACTTAGCAGCGCAAAATTGCTTTATCGATTAGTTGTGTTTATTGATTACACAAGTCTGCAGAATTAGACATGTCTTATTATATAAGAAAGAAGAGTGGTTTTTTATCCACTAAATCAGATCCTTTCATTGTTTAACGTGTCTTATATATCTTTTTCTTAATTAAAAAAAAGATTTTTAATATAAACGTGACATAAAAAAGGAAAAACAGTTAATCCCGAAAATTCACGTCGCCGCTCGAAATGGTCGTGAATATACGAGACACAGCTCTCGCTTCAGATAGCGCGAAAGATATTCACCGGGGCATATTTCGTCTTATCTTCGTCTTTGGACGAATGCAATTCGTAACAATCAGTTTCGGCATGCACATGACAGATTTACAATATAAGAAATATAAAAGATCTATAAGATAATATCCAAAAAATAGTATTACAAAATCTAATGTGGATATCATTTAAAAAACCTTTTTATTCTTATTAAAAAAAAAATTAATAAATGATTAAACAATAATGTATTCCGCTTTATTAATTTACATTTAACAGAATCGACATAATATCCATTAATTGTAATTATAATAACAGCATTAATATCGTTATTACCATACCATATACCATACTGTATACCGTAAGTTGCCGCAGTAAATTCTATTATCTAGTAATAATAAGATCAATATTAAAAATTTACATTAGCGTGTAGGATGTAAAATTGTATGCATGTCTAAAAGATTAGCCCATGTTTTTTTTCCGAGGAGCAATTTCTTTCGAAAATCGCTTACTTTTAACACAAGTAAACGAACAGAAGAAAAAAAGAGCAAAAGAAAAAAAAGTAGAAGAATCCCGCGGCGATGTTCTAACGTAGGGAAAAAGGTCGCGCTTTAACAGCAGTGGAGCAGGGTGAGAAAAGGAAGACGAAGATGGTGTAGCCGTCTCCATAACTGTACGGTCCACTCGGCTAACGTAAGTATATTGTCAATCAATCCATGGTATAAAAGCAATCTGAGCTCCGCACGACGGGGCAGCGAGATCCCGCGGGGCGTAGATGGGACGAAGAAACTAAGGTGAAGCAATGGAAGAGAGGTGAGTGCAAACAATCCCCTACGTATTTTGAAAAAAAGAGAAGCGAAGAAAGAAAGAAAAAAAGAAAAAAAGAAGAAAGGAGGAAAAAAGAAAAAAAGCAGGAAGGAAGAGAAAAGGAAAGAAGGAAGGAAGAAAGGAAGGAAAAAAAAGGAAGGAAGGAAGAAAAAAAGGAAGGAAGGAAAGAAGGAAAAAGGAAGGAAAAAAGGAAATAAGAAAGGAAGGAAAAAAGGAAGGAAGGAAGGAAGGAAGGAAAGAAAGAAATAAGGAAGGAAGGAAGGAAGGAAGGAAGGAAGGAAGGAAGGAAGGAAGGAAGGAAGGAAGGAAGAAAGAAAAAAGGAAGGAAGGAAGGAAGGAAGGAAGGAAGGAAGGAAGGAAGAAATGACCCCTCTGACCACTTGAAGGACCCTATCCAACAAGTAAAATAAAACGAAACTCGTAGGCGATATCAGAGCTCGTAAATATAAATACATACCTCGAAAGTTACACACTTATAAGATCGTATATAAAGTCACATACACTGAATCTCAATTAATTCATATTAATTATGTATTCATAATTAATATGAATTAATTGAGATTTAGTGTATGTGACTTTATATAGTTAATTGTTAATACTTTCACAGATAACAAATTTATATTAAAAAGAGAAACGGATTTCTCTGAAAAAAATCTCTGTGTACGTGTACGCGTGTGTGTACGTTCGCGATTCACAGTCAGTACAACCGGATGGTTATGGCTGATAGTAGGATATATCCGAAAAAGCTGGTGGAAAATCTCTCCTAGCATTCTCGAAGTGGTGCCTTATTCTGTTCAGAGAAAAGTTCCGAGTGCTAAGAAAATATATCGATGTGACCACTAAAAGAGACAAAGATGACGACGACAACGACGATATCACCATCGTGCAGTCAGATTGATAAATTCGATTTTATGTACAGAGCGTTTGAAATTACGTTAGCAATATTTAAAAAAAAATTTTTTTTTTAAGTATTGTTTTAATTTAAGAAATTCACAAAACAATCTGCCAATTTTATAAATAAATTTACACTTTATCGACTCTGGAGTACACCAGCAAAATAGCAGTAAATGAACACAACCTTTATCTCAGTCAAGACGGTGGGGGTGCTCGTGCACCGGTAAATAAAGTTATGCCCCTATTGTGGTCCGATGGGAGATCGCCGGGCCGCGCTAGCCCTGCTGTATCCGCCATGGGATAGCAGGACTAGCGGAAAATGAAATAATATCGGCGTAAACACACGGGGATCGTACAAGCGAACGCCAAAGAGGCCGTACGTAAATAGGTAAGAGAGTTTACAGCTATAATACAAAAGGGAAGAAGGGACACATCGAGGAAGACAGAAAGACGAACAGGCGAAAAAAAAAAAATGGTCGTGAGACACGACCTGTGTCGGATATTCGTAGAACTGCAAATTGTCGATGACAAATCTGAATAATGTATTAACAAAAACAAATTGATTTGATCGACGGTGCTTAATGCTTCATCGAAACATTGTGTATTGATTCTTGAGCAGCCGTCGGAGCAAAAATCGTCATATACTACTTGGATTAGAAATCACAAAACATCCTATCCAACTGTTGAACAAGACAATTCAAAGTCTTAAAATTCTAATGCAAAAGAAGTTATAACTATAGAAATAGAGATAGAGAGAAGAGAGTAACGGAGGGAGGGGATGAGAAGAGAAAGGGGGGTGTATTGTTTGGTGAGTATCGTCGCGTATCCACACGGTGCCATATAACGCACGATAATCCAGCACTTTGTGGAATAAGCAATGATTTTCGAGTCCTATTCTATATTATTGCGACACGGAGAGAAAAGCGTGTGTATAAGCAACAGTAACACTGCGATGCGCACGGTGGGCCGCATTAAAGGACAGATAAACCTGCCAAGGCGTACAATAACGCGCACGCGGGCTTTGGAGACCTCCTCTCAATGCCGTTCTCATTCTTCTTTTTCGTTCACAGGTGAAATCGCATGATTAATGATCCTCAACGCGCACCTTACTCGACCGGCGCGCACTCGGAAGGAATTATTTTATCACGCTCAGCGGATTTCGTCGACCGGGAATACGTATTTTCGCAATTCTCGGAAAGAAAGCACCCGTTGTTAAGAATTCAATCAACAGTTGCGGAAAGAGCAACGAGTTTATTCTAGATTAATGTAAATATTAGCTAAAAATCATACTAGCAA